TAATCCAAGGAGACATGACGACCGGGTTGAAATTCAATTCGATGGCCATGCCTCCTCGGACCCGAAGAAGTGCGCGAGCCGGCAGTTTACACTGCACTCTTCGACCGACAAGGCCAAACGGGTAACACATCGTTTGGCGACGGCTGCGCAAAATACCAAAAGACTGCGCACCACTTACTTTCACCAATGGGGAGGTTCAGAGTGCCATCAAAAAGGCAAACTCGTCCAAATCCATTGTCCCTGACGGAATAAGCATGCTGATACTAAAACATCTAGGCTCGACCCCATCAAGGTCCGACCCCCCCAAGGTCCTCAACCGATGACCACTCTTCAAATACCCGATGTGTGGAAAGTCGCAAGAGTGGTCCCATTACTGAAACCTGGGAAACCGCCAACAAAGGGGAGTCTATCGTCCGATAACTCTTCTTTCCCCAATAGTGAAGACACTTGAGGCCTTGCTACTCCCGACATTCACTCACCACCCGAGTCTAGCAGACCATCAACATACCTTCTGAAAAGTGCACAGCACCACCATAGTAGTACAGTGAACCACACAACGCTACTTGAGGACAAAGAATAATCCATGCTCCCTCGAGGGCTGAAGCGGTGGACTATGAACTACCTGAGCGGTCGGCATTCATCCGTACTGTTTCGAGGTCAAAACTCCAAACATAGAAGAATTAAACAGTGGGTTCCGCAGGGTGGTGTACTCTCCCCACTACTGTTTAATTTCTACAGCTCGAAACTCCCCTAACCACCAGAGGGAATTTCCGTGACCTCGTACGCTGATGACTGCACAATATTGACGTTGGGCAATGGAATCGATGGCAGGTGCTCGAAAGTAAACGGCTATCTCTCCGACCTTTTTCGCTTCTTCTCTACAAGGAGTCTGACACGCTCCCCTACTAAATCCACAGTGACCAGTTCGACTAACTGGACGAAGGAGTATAGACTGAATCTAAACATTTTAGTAGATGGCACAAAAAATCCTCGTGAATCCAGAGTGACCCTCGCGTAACTTCGTTCTGGATATTGTAGCAGGTTAAACTCCTCCTTATCTAGAATATACCCCAACATTCCAAATATATGTGATGAGTCTCCGCATCACTAACCACCCCTTTGCATGCCCAAAGAACCCCCTCATCTAACACCCTTTTCCCTATGGTCCAACCCCGTCGAAACAGCTCGTTTCCTGGGCCTCCCGTTAGATGACCTCGACGACAACCAAACTATAACTTATCACCCAAGCGGTGACTAGGTAACCGTTACAACAACAACAACAACACCGGCCATCGGACGACCACTTGCCCCAAGCAGCCAACGTGTTCCCTCTAATAAAGTGCAGTGGAAATTATAACTAAAAGCTGTGGAAAGTTAAGAAAAATAATCAATAAAGTGTACTTGAAAATGAAATAAATTATTAAGTACCTATATATTGTAAAAGGTGTAATTATAACTGAAACCGTTAATGTTTAAAAAGATAAGAATAAAGAGTGTTCTTAAAAGAAGGATATTATACCTAAAGCTATTTATATTGAAAGTTTGGAAACAAATTGAAAAAAAATTAAATAAAAATGAGTATATTGAAATATTTAGGCAATTCATAATCTTTGTCTTATGTCGTATTTCAATAGTCTTAAAAAATACGACACTTGTGAGCACCCCTTAATCCTTGTATGTCGTATTGTGTACTATTTCTACACTTCACCAGCTGGTAGTGAAGAATTAAAACTAAAAAATGCCACAAGAAAGTGGCAAAAATAAAAGTAAAGATTCTTTATGTGAAAAGTTTTCTAACGTTGAAACGGCAGCGTTTTGGTTTACACTGCACAAAATCATTTCCAACCAGAGAAACAACAAAACATATTTATAATTCACTTTTCTTTAACTTAATTTACCTGAATATCAACAATAAAAAAAGTAAACAGATACAGCTGATAGAGAGCACACTCAAAAGACATACCTCGCCGTGTTGTATTTGACGTATTTTAATGTTGCATGGGAAGCAACAACAGTGTTGATATGCCAGTCATAAAGAAAATAAGACAACATGACACCTTGTGAATACCCTAATTGAGAATTGTTTATCAAAAGTATATTGAATGGGTTAAAATAAATTGATGGCCGCTGAGTTACGGGTAAGGAGATATTTCCATTTAAAGTTTAAAATTCAACTATTTAAAGTGCGTGTTTTTCCGATTTATAAAGAATTTTACGTTTATATTTTGAATTTGATTATTATCTTGGGAAATCTTTAGTATAGCATCCCCGAGTTCGAGGATGAAATGCATTTTAGCGGATAGAGGATATTCTCCATATAAAGAATATATATGGATATATCCGCAGGAGTTTTCGAGGTATCTGGGCTTTAAGTCCAGAAAGTATGTAATTTTTCTATGTATTATGAATTTTACACTTATATTATTCAATATTATATCCACTAACACATCACTAAATAGTCTTTACACATGTGTATATTTAATCATAAATAGTGCACAAATAATTAAATCGTAATTAAAGTTTTATCAATTGGTATTCAGTTTTTGTGAGCATTATTATCAAAAAGAGAGAATATTACATTTTCAAGAAAAAACAACAAAGGGAATTGTTAAGATAAAACTTATCTTTATTTGGAGCAAGTGTTTGTTCGACACTTCTCTGCTCATGTATTCAGTATGTTTCGCAATAATCCAAACTGCTTTCAACAAAATTCTGCACCGGCTCAAAAAGAAAGAATAGCAGTGGTGCAAACACAATATGACATGTTTCATTTCAGCGGCCCCTTTTTTTCCGGATTAGAATCACTTGGATTTTTGTATATAATTAGCAAATGTAAAAAAATTAAAACTGAGTTTAACGTCGTTTGCACAGAATTTGGAACGAAATTCGTGCGAACCGTCTGTACTAGTTTCCAAACCCGTGTGAAGCTTTGAAAGCAATGAAAGGCGAACGATTTGAATTAAAACACATAATGCAAGTCTGTAGTTTAACTAACAAATAAAACACGTTTTTTTCCTAACTTTAATATACATTTGTTATTTTTTGCGGAAAATATATATACACGCGACACGCTATATATATATCCGGCCATAATTATCCCCGAAACCGGGAGATACTATTCAAGAGTCCAGCTATTATCTTAAGCTTGAGATCCTCCTCTATCCATACATACCCATTTTAACCCCGCGGGATGCTATTTTATGAAATGTAAAATGAATATTTACACACGAATTAGTGAAGTGTTAGTGAATATAAAAGGAGGATCTCCTCTATCCACCCATACCCCTTTTATCATTGAAATTCTGGGAGGGGACTCTAAAGTTATCCCCATTATACGATTACGGATTCCGGGGAAAAGCTTTCTCTTTTTTATTTTTGTTCATTTGAAAAATATGGGTATGGTAACTCTTATTATTTGTTTGCATGCAACCGTTTTGTTATTTTGTAAATTAGTACAATTTAAGAAAACTTTAATTACGATTCAAAACTATCTGTGCACTATTTATGATAAAATAAATGTGTAAAAACTAGTGATGTGTTTGTGGATATAATATTGAATAATATAAGTGAAAAATTCATAAAACATAGAATAATAACATACTTTGATTTGTGCATTTTCGACTTTAAACGCGAATATCTCGAAAATTATAAGTCTCCTGAGGCTATATGGATATATATTCGGTAAATGTATAGTTTATTTTTTTAGCCTCAAAAACGATTTTTTTTTTTAAATCGTCTTATTTTGACGCGAATATTACAAATCTGTGAGCGGAAAGTGCGTTGGCGGCCTTCGGAATCGCTTCAAAAAAATAACCCTGGCCGATCCAACACCGGGGTGTACCAAGGTCTTTTCGCGTAGAGCTCCTTTTTGCATTGGTAAGAAGTTCTACAAGAAAAAGTAATATTGTCATAGAGGGTATAACATAGTACTTAACATTAATGCTCTCTAATAGTTTGTTTCTCTAGGTTTTGGATTCCTGTCTTTGGGCTATTATCTGTTTTCATTTCTTTCAGTTCAATTACAAAAGATGTCGATACGATAACACTGGTTATTTGACATTTTGCAACCCCTGTGTTGTTGTCAGAATGGGAAAACTTTAGTTTAGCATCCCCCGATATCAGAGCTAAGAGGGGTATGGTTGGATAGAAGAGATTCTCCAGATCTCGAATATATATAATTATTGCCGCCGGAAACTTATTGTTTTCGAGATATTTGCATTTTAAGTTGAAAATTTCACAAATTTCATTTTACAATTTCTCGATTTATGGTTATCTTTTCTTTTATATTATGCACTTATTAAACACTAACACTTCACTACAATGTTTCTACATATTTATTTTATATTAAATATTAAAGTATTTGCTTTAAATAAGCATTTAATTTTTACACAATTTTCGTAATATATCGTAATAACAAATGGGTTTCATTTTGTCGGATAATAAGTGTCGCCATATCCAAACGGATGAAAGCAATCAAAATAAATAAAAAACGCAATCACCCTCTACAAAATATTATGAACTTAATTTTCCATTTTAATAAAAGAAAAAGGTTTTATGGCTTAAACGTATGTTTTATTGCATCTTATAATTTCACAAATGGATAATGATGCTGATTTACTATATTTTTACGCCATATGTATTCATATTTCAAATTCTCAAAATCTTCACTGTTATTATAATTATCCTTAATAAAAATTGAAGTTTATAGAGAGTGATATTTTCTCTTTAACATTACTTTTTTTTTTTGTTAAGATTTTTGATTTGCCGCGCTTCAAAAAAAATAACCCTGGCCAATCCAATACCATAATTTATCTATAGAAGGGAATGAACAAAATTATAGTTCATGTATTTGGGGTATAATCCTCTTTTATTGTTCATTTTAATTCGCTTTCAAAATATATATTTATATATATATATATATATAATAGATATGGCAACACTTATTATCGGACAACATGGAACCCATTTGTTATTGTTCATATTACGAAAATTGTGTAAAAATTAAATGCTTATTTAAAGCCAATACTTGAATATTTAATATAAAATAAATATGTAGATACATTGAAGTGAAATGTTAGTGTATAATAAGTGCATAATATAAAAGAAAAGATAACCATAAATCGAGAAATTGTAAAATGAAATTTTCAACTTAAAATGCAAATATCTCGATAAATCGTGATCTGGAGAATCTCATCTACCCAACCATACCCCTCTTAACCCTGAAATCGTGGGATGCAAAACTAAAGCCCACCCGTCAGAATTATGAACTGAACTATATCATTTAAATATTGAATTAAACTATTTTTGCACTATATAATGTAAAATAAATGTGTACAAACGAATTAGTGAAGTGTTAGTGGATATAAAAGTGAAAAATATAAGTGTATGATTAATTTAAATCGAAAAAATGCGTACATTAAATAGTTGAAATTTTCAACTTTAAACGTAAATATCTCGAAAACTATAAGTTTTTCGCGGCTATATCTACATATATTCTTGATCTGGAGGCTCTTCTCTATCCGCTCATACCTATTTTATCCCCTAAAGCCTGGGACGGTATACTAAAGTTTTTTCGAATATAAATATGACATTTTGTTTTACCGTCAGTGTACTTCCTAGTTTACTCCCAGCACTACATAAGCTATTCAAAGCACTGAGATAACTTATCCAGGCCAAGGAGCACTCGTTCAGTGCAGTCTTCGTTGATATTGGCGCACTACTAATAGATAGCGAAGATCCAGTACTACTTATAGAATCTCTGGGTGCTGTCGAACCCACTGGACAACCAGCAGCACAATCTATTTCATTTTCCATTTTGCAAATAAAATATTTTATTATTCCTTAAATCAAAATTTATTACACAAATTAATATCAGTAAACAATAGAGCTGCAAAATAATCGATGAGACTATCGATATAATATTTTGACTATTGATGGTTTATGCCTTAACTAGTTTTAGGCTGTGTGCCAAACGGTAAAAAATTAAAATTCTGGCAGATAAGAGTAAAATTTTAACGTTCCAAGTGGTGAATCCGAATGTCAGAATTTTATCTACCTAGCTAGGTAAGATTTTGCCTACTTATAGTAAATAAATATGAAAACCGATATGCATTCAGGAATAAATGAATTTAAAAGAACAGCTGCATACATAACAAATATGTTATAAACTAGTTTATTAATTCTTAATTATTCATTCAGAAGTGATACTCTTAATAAGGAAAGTTTTTGACTTGCACTTGACGGAATTTTTATTATTTAGCCGAAATAATGCAAACTAAAATTAAGATACAAGAATTAAATTAGTAGATTAAAAGATCTAAATGTAAATGTATTTATGTATATATGAAAATATATTGTTTACCGAATTCAAGTAGCATCGTAATAGCCTAGCACGCTGCCTAAATTTCTCAATTAATAACCAATCTTTAAATTAATGAATTTTTTCTTGTCTCAATAATATTAATATGAGCAAGCAAAATATTTTCTTTTAATTTAATTCATTTTACGAATATATTCAATAATTTAAATAACGTGGTTAACATTCAAACGACGCCCCAACTCAACGCAGGGACCGTTTGGCACATGTTACCGTTTGGCATACAACCTTACCAACAATTAAAAAAAAAAATTTGCTTAAGATAGCTAAATAATGATATTGGTGGTAACTGGTAGTCTTCAGTAAGCAGCATGGTATAAGGGAGTAGCGAAAGGGTATAAAATACGGTAGATATATTTCTTTTTTAAAAAGTTATTTAAAATTAGCTTGTGCAACACTGTTACGCATTGCTCAATAGCAATACTGGCATTTGAATTTATTAACAACTTTTAGTCAAACGGACAGACAAGTTTTTTTGAAGGGTAAATTGTCTTTTTTTAAATGTTTTTAATAAAATTATTTTATGGGTTTTTTTCATAGAAACAAACAAGTTATTTCGGATCAACAGGTTAGTACTATTTTCTATAATTCAAATTAAAAGAAAATACTAATGGGAACTTTTTTACAGAAGCAATATGCCACGCAAGTGCATCAGAAGCTGCAAAGGCTCGTTACGTCTTTATAAGTTTCCGGGAGTGTATTTATATAATTATTGTAAAATGAACTTTTTGAATGTTTTTGTTTTTTTATTATTAATAATTTTGTTATTTAGTTTTAAGGTATATACGTGAAAATAGGCCTCCTGGGGAACCGAACACCCAAAAAAATCGGTAACGCGCCATTTGCATACCCCATGGTGGTGTGGAAAATGCATTATAGATATAAGGAAATGTACTAAAATCCAACGAAATAAAACATATTATTTGGCACAGAAAAAATCATGTTTTTATTTAAACAAAGTATTTATATTAAGATTCTTAAATTGTTTCAATGAATGCAAATAGAGGCGTTGCAAATGAAGAAATTGCCCATGATTCTAACTTTTGTTGGTGTTGAGCACTATAATACTGGCCACATATTAGCTTTGGAAACAATTAGATGCACACTAAAACATTAACTCTGATAAAAGCATATTGATCGTATGAGCATGATAATTTACATATAAACAATTTTGTATCATTTGAAACGTAATGCTTGTTTCACTTTCCAAATCATTGTCATACATAAATCAGTTTCTAAATTTAAATCACTCAATCGAATTTAAGTACGCAATCTAAAGAATCAGGACGTCTATTAATGAAATTATATCCTTTCAAAACGATATAAATATCATGCACATTGTGGGCGGGTTAAAATAGCTTTATTATTTACTACAGGTTTTCTCTGGAAAAAAAATAATTTTTGTTATTATTTATTATTCTATTCACTAATACACACCTGCATATTTTAAATTCTTGTGTGAGCAGTTTTATCAAGAGCAATTAGCATTAAATATTCACTATTTTACGAAGTTTGTGTTGCAAATGTTTAAACATTGCCCTCAGTTTCGTTGAATAAGCATTTTCTGCATCCCGTTATTTGACATAGTTGCTTATTTGCACCTTACATTTTTCCGTGGTGAATATTTATTAAGTTACCACAGTTAAAAAAAGGCATAAATATATATCGTAATTATTCTGAAATTTGCCAATAATAGCTTTTTTAAGAACATATATTAAAATAAACTTATTTTATTTTGAAAACATATTAAAGTTTTACATATAATCAATATTTTTTGGACAACTTTTTTATAAATTAAAAGAAAATAGCAAGATGCAACCATTTTCCGGTTAAAAGTCGGCCAACTTTGATATCAATAGAAACTCAACCCCTAGGCGGACTGGACGTTTAATGATTATACACTTATCTATATTTCTATTCCAAATAACTTAACGCTTTACTACTCCTTATCCGAATTCACTACTCCTTACTTATACCTTAATTGTTCCTAACACGACCACACTCTAACTAGAACTGTCCTGCTGCATAGTCCGGCAGACGTTAAATAGTAGATCTCTAACAAATCTTCTCTACTAGAACATTCTGGCAACTACGAATTCGCTGTCTATTAGCTTCTGGCAATTTATCCTGCGTTTGATGTTGTTCTATCATCAGTATTTGGCACAATATTTTGTAAGCAATTAAAAAAAAATTAAAAAGAATCTATTTCATATCAATTTCTTAAAGATTGTGATTCGAAGTTAACATTTTAGTTTTATTGGTACTTATGCTTTGTGACCGCGTTATAGAAATTTTAATATTTGTTATCGACATTTAATTTTCATTCTGATTTTGCACATAACCTCACTTATTTATATACATATGCGGCCGCAATTCAGAACAGTGCATAAATTAAAATTGTTAAGAAACTTCCATTTTATTTAGTACTCTTGATTTTGGAAAATAAAATTATGAAATTGAAATATATTATGTAAACATGTGTTGACCGAATACCAATATCCCAGTCAAATAGTTATTTGTGCTTCAAAAAATTAGAGAGCTTTAAGTTTTGTTTTTGTAGAAAACTACGGATTGGGTAAAAGAACTTTATTAATATTTATTTTCTAACATCTTAAAAATAGGTATACTTCAAGGCTCATATGAAGTATTAATATGTGCACAATGTCTATTTAATATATGTACGTACACACATACTTATTATTTGTTTTGTGAAATAAAAGTTTTTTAAAAGTTAATAACAGATGGTGCTATCATTGTATAAATCTATATCAATATTATACAATGGGTGCTATCCTTATTTACCTTCTCCAACTGAATACGACGGGACATAGATTCCACGAGCTTTTTTAGGACAGACAAAACAGTTTTATCCTTCTAATCTATTATATTTAAGTTGCCTAATAGTTTGTTTACATAGAAAAATAGTCTCCTTCTAAGCTCGGTCAACAATCTAACCGTTTACATACCCAAAGGAGATTATCAGCTGTCGTATGTGTTGTATTTGTTTTCTTTTTAATTTATTTTAAATTGTTATGAAGCAATATTTTTACTCGGGAACTATTAAATATTAATAATAACGTTGAAACCTTCCAAAGTTTTTGGGAACTCAGTATTGTAGGCAATTTTTGATTACTTTGTCATTTGACTATTCTCCTACCTTCGCGAAAATAATCGATAAAACTAGGTAGAACACCGCAAATCTAGTTGTATAATGGGAAATTAAAAATTAATCTCGAATTTATAAAAGGGGAGCTTTGTATGGTAAATCTCGTTTCTTAATTACAGATTATCAAGTTAAGCTAAATGAAGATAATCTTGTTATATGTAAACATGCTATAAGGCTGACGTCTTGCTTCGAATACGCAAATATTCTATTCATTGCCATGTAAATCAAAAGCAAAATATCTGCTTACTTTCTAATAAATCAATGTATATCAATGCGTTTAAAACTGCTCAGCTACAGAAACAAAAATTTCAACAGCTAAGATCTAAAGTTACAATATAATAAATTGTTACATTTTCATTTATTAAGAGAAAACAATAAAGTCTTTTTAATTTTGAAAAGTGAGTCAGATAAGTCAAATGTGCTGGAATGAGAATTAAAATCATGACATATACGGCGGAATGGCTCGTTTAGTTCAAAATTTGATCTACAGGATTTTAGCAGTAAAGGTCTAAACTGCCGCAAAAGGCGAACCGGGATATTAAATTTAATTTCAGACAGGAGAAAAGAACTGCAAACAGTTCCATTCAAAATTTTCACTAAGAATGTTATGCCAAGCATTTCCCTACGACTAGAAAGTGTAGGTAGATTAATAAGTTTTAAACGACTAGTGTATGGAGGTAGACTTACCCTAGAATCCCATCGGAAATTCGCTAAGGCGAAAAGTAAAAATTCTTTTTGAACCGACTCTAACTTGTCAGAATGGATTTGGTAGCTAGGGTTCCATACCACCGAGCCATATTCCAATATAGGTCTAACCTTTTGTGATGCTACTTCTACAGAGTCGGAGAGAATGTATAGCCACGCTGGATTGCTAATATTAGATAGAATAACGGTACTAAAGGATAAAAACGACAACGAATTACTATTTTTAAACATCAAGTGGAATATTGAGTATTGAGAATAAAGTACTCTACCGAAATGTATTTTAAGTATAAATTTCTTGGTCCTATAATACATTAGTAAATATATAATAAATGTACCTTTTTATAACTCGTGAGCTCTTAGAGCTGTTTATATGGTAACATGAAAAATTTTATAAGGGACTTTATTAATTTTTTTTTGTGTTTTCCGTCATTTCTCATGTTTTGGCTAATATTTGAAAAAAATTTCCAATTGCTTTGGAAAAAATCCTTAAATATTTGTTTTTAAATGTACTTAAAAAAAATGTTTTTAACTGCGCCCTGTTTATTGTTTAAGTACATTTAAAAACACACATTTTAAGATATTTTCCAAAACAATTGGAAAATTTTTTCAGAAAAGCCGCTATTCTGAACATTTACCATAATTGAGAGTATATTGATGAAAGTAAAAATTATCTGTTTGGATCATAGCTGGCACAGAAATTAGGCTACATTGCGGCTAAAAATGTAGATGTTGACGAAATTAAATTCCAAATACAACAGTTGTTGGCGAGCTATCAGACGTATTTTAAATAATTTGCTACTATTGTTGATGAAAATGAAAACGTAAATTACCTAGATATACCCGGAAAGACACATAATCGTCGGTTGAAAATTGGCTCACATATTATATTCAGCGTAATTTCAATCCCAATCAATTATGCAACGGTTCAAGTTTGGTAATAAAAAATGTTACAGATGTCAAGAGAACATGACACGTTTTCCAATGTACTGTCAGAATGTACGATACTGAATCAAATTGAATTCTACATCTTATATCTTATGTTTATTTGAACTTAAAAACGAAACTAAGAAAATTGGTATCAATCATTTTTAAATTTGGAAGTAATTTTAACTCTAGGATTCTTACACCGGAAATAACGTTTTCATTTTTATTCATATTTACAATTTTACTGTATTGAATCCTTCATGATTAGTGTATACCTTAGCCACAGCACCGCGTGGACGGGTCCACTAGTTTTGGATAACAGTTGATTAAAATCGTTGGAATTTTGGGCGAAATCATCTTTTTATTTAAATTCGTGAGTACAGAAAATTTTTTAAAATAGTTGGGTGCGTTAAGAATGTTGCGGAAATATTTATAATCTGTTAAGAATTTCTATTGTTACGAAACGCCTCACTTAATCATACGTGCAGTTTTGTCGGCACGGTTTTCCAGTATTTTAGTAAAAATTAAGAACCGTTGAAAAACAAAAATTAAAGAAAAAAAGCATACATTTAATTTAGTACTAATAATTTTAGAGAATAAAGTTATGAAATTGAAACATACATTCTGTTGAGGTTGAATTTCACAATATATGTACATTGATCGAGAGATTAATGCCTACAGTAAACGATATCATTGTAACTAATTTTTGTTTTTCCATTATTGTTCATCTTTTGTTTTATATATAAATCCAGAAAATATTTCATAAAAATGAAGTGTACAAAGCCAAGGTCTCTTAATTGAAACCAGCGAAGAGGAGTAAATTTTATGGAGAAAAGCTATCGATAGTATTTTCTTTAACTATCGAGAGGTCCGACTATTGATTATCCAATATTTTACTTATGTTCTAGCCTCGGGAAAAATTTATCTATTTCTCTGCTTTTGCTGCACGTCGTTATGATTATCTTACTCGCTCTCTCATTGCTTTAGCGCAAATACTACATATGTATATCTTTACCAACTATTTTGTAAAAGTATTAGTTACTCTTTGGTTGCTCCGCAGTTCCACATGCAATAGCTATTGCTAATCTATTGCCGTTAAGGTTACCAACATTTTTGTGTGAGCATTTGTTACCATCAGCGGTGCAGGTCGGGCAGAGTTATATCATGGATAAAATGATCCGAAACTCTTTGATTTGAGAGAGCGCTGTCAAAGTCCACATTTTTTATAACATTTGACAATGGTGCCACTAGTGAAAGAAATACGTTTTGAGATTTGTTAATGTATTTAGTGGGTATTTTTCGGTTTCCATTTTACTGAAAAATATACATAATTAAAATTAGTTTAACAAGCTAGATATCCTATATGACTTCTAAATATATGTACGTGTATATTTTAATCACAGAAGATTTTCTAAATTAACTTTTAAAACTAATTTTAACAAAAAAAAATTTAATATTTCAAAACACTTACAAGTTTTAAATAAGCTAAACATGAACATTACTTAGTTTTTATATACTGAAATATCTTTCGATAATTTAATCGGAAGTCAAAGTTTACATAACATTTGCTGGGAACTCTAACCAAAATAATTATATACGTTGACAATTGGTACTGCTAAGCAAATCAATACTCTGCGACAAAATACTGCTCTTTCTTAAAAACAAAACTATATTAAATCTTTTTCAATAAAGAAATATAAGTAACAGTCACCAAAAATCTGATCTCACAAATTACCCACTTATTTCGAAATTTATTTCTGCGGGGTTCTTAGTGGTTGTTCATTGGTTTGCTTGTCATCTGTTCAGTAGCTCATGAACTCGTGGTTTTTTTTTGGCAGCACTGAAAGTTCATGAGCTCTCTCAGACAGAGAGAGGAGTTTCGGATCATTTATGATTTTTATGATTTACCCGGAGCTTGACTTTCATGGTATAATATCTACTTTCTTTATTTAGATAATATGAATTCGGAAGAAAAAGCTTATAGATTTCTCTTTTCAACAAGAGAATATAGAAAAAACACATTCTATACTCGGTCTATCAGGAGATCTGAACGAAGTCCGACTCTGACTTTTCTTCCGTTCGCTCGCTCCCTGTCCCCTATATTTTTCGCACTCTCTCAATGGTCTTGATTCTACGTCATTCGTTCTGAAGGAAACATATAATTTGTTGTGTTTCAGAATGGTGAAAACCCTCTGAATTTCTGGGAAAACCTCGCTGCTAGAACACTTAGCGATGGTTACCAAGAATTCTGTCCTAAATCTATATAAATAAAACTAAAAAGCGCAACAATTTTTCAGCAGAGACAATTTCAACAATTCTTCACAGTAAATCTGTTGTTGATGTGGGCTATGTAAAGTTCCCTTAAGACATGAACATCCTCTACAAATAATTGCAAACCATTGTACCATACTTTTTTTTGAATAATTGTAACAATTGTAAACATCATTATTTTTAAAGAATGTAATAGAGTTAAATTTGACTAAATGATATTTTCAAACTTTTTTTGACACAGTATTTCCCGTATAATTGTACTTAAAAAATTGCACAATTCTTGTTCAATTAACTGGGGCATCAATTAAGCGATACTCGTTTAATTAAACAATACGTTCAATTACAGGAATCCCGTTTAATTGGTCACTTAATCAATTAAAAAAATCATATGTGCACTTTAAGTATTTTTGTAATGTTATTTAAATAATATATTTATCGTTAAACGAAAATATATAAAGAACAAACACAAGACAATTCACGTATGCATATATGTGCATACATATTTAGAGATCATTGTTAGAGATTATTTTTTTAATGAAAGTTTTTTGTGTAAATAACCGGAGGAAATTAAACGTAAATTTTTTTTAATAACACATATTTTTAACCAAATATGCGGAGAAACCAATTAAGCGGGTTCAATTAAGCGAGGAAATTTACACGTGATTTGTATGCAATATATTTTTGGCCGATCAGGGGATTCAAACAAGCGGAAAAATCCACCATCCGGAGGTCAATTAAGCGGTGAATACTGTTATTCCAAAGTTAAAATATTATAATATAATTTGTTTTTGATATGAGGCAGGCTCCTCCCTCGCGCGGTACAACCTTTTAGAACTCCTAGGGATCATTGACCCCTGACCGATACGGAATATTCTTAGGATGATGTTTTTGGACTTGGATCCTTAGTATGTAGGAGTGACTCTCTGCAGAAATGGCAAAATTTTAGAGAATTTTTAGGAACACGGATAGGGAACTGTGATAGGTCAAGCCACATATCCAAGGGTTGGAGGCAGATAAGGCTGGCGTTCGTCCCGAAGGCCGGCAAGAGCTCTCATGCTAATGCCAACTCCTACTAGCCTCTCCTCGTTTTTGTTAAAGACGCTGGAAAGGCTTATGGACCTGTACATCAAAGGTAGTATATCGAGAGATAGAGGAGATTGGTAGACCTGCACGCCGTTGTGTGTGCCATATGCGATCGCTCTTTTACAATTTCGGACTTCAAGCGTTCCAATAACGTTATATATTAACCACACTTGTATTCACTGAAGTCATAGTTATATATAGCAGTTTATTTTAGTGTTATATCATAGGGAAGAACCTGCGTTTCAGAAGTTTTAACACTTTCCAAAATACTCACATTTTCCCTTATACCTATTCCTTCAAAGAGTCTGGGCCTTTATTTTAATCTGACATCCGCAGAGCTAAACCTACGTGCGCCTACCATCGATTTTGCATCAAATATTATTAATTTAAAATCGATAAGCCTGGAATACAATGAGTTAACTAAAGAAAATAGTTCCTCAACTAGAACTAAACGAGGTAGTAGTATAATATTGCAATTAGATTCATTACTATTATTTGTTGAATGTTACTGAATTCATGGGGTTTATTTCTGGAAGTGCTAACGCGATTGTAATTCTCCATCTCTTCTTTTTTATGATAATTTTTTTGCTTAGCAAAGAGTTTATAATTTATTGATTCCCTGCACAAAACGGTCTAAAATACCAGCTGTGGATATTACAGTTGAATCTGAAGGAAGGTTCTGAAGTTCCGCACTAGGTTTTACCATTCGAAAACATTCTTCGGGTCGAGAGATATTCAAAAATATTTCTGCATTACTTGCTTCTGAAGTATGTACCTCATTGCAGCAATAGACTGCTTTTTGTTCATATTTTTGTACCAGAATAAAGTTGTGACCTATATGTTTTAGTTTTTGCTTAACTGTATAATTTCCGTCATTTACTTCTGATATAACTTCATTTGAGAGCTTGGAAATTACTCTTTTCGATTCGTTAATATAATATGTTTTCGATTAACGGTATTTTTGGGGCGTGACAATCGGTCTTTTCCGCCTATCTGAAACACGTAACGATTCTTATGGTACCAAGAAAATTATGTACCAATTTTCATCAAGATATATCAATCGATACTTAAGTTATTGCTTTCACAGACGGACGGACGGACAGACAGTAATTCAAAGTCTGAACTTGCTTTGTCATTATGATCATTTATATTTATAACTCTATATCTATCTCGATTAGTGTATGGTGATACAAACAAATGTTAGATGAACAAAACTATTATACTCTGTAGCAACATGTTGTGAGAGTACAAGTATATTAACTAAGGAAGAACTTAGTTCGAGTGTAAACGAACATTTTATGCTCTCAAATTTTGAAAGGATCAAAGGCGGTAAAATATTTTCAGGTATTGAAACAACTAATTTTTATTATTATATTTTACTTCGTGTCCGCGATATTTATATTAAAATCGACGTCAAATGAGTATATGAGAAAAAAACAACCAAATAACCGGTAGTCTTTACAACGAAAATTAAACCTCATATTTTTAATACTACAGTTTAGACAAACTTCATTCATATCCAGCGCTAAACCACCTATGTTAAATAATACGCATCCACTCAATTCCATTCAATTTCATAATACCAAAATAGACGGTTTAGAGTCATTGAAAATCGGAAATCACTATATCGCCTTAATATATGGAAATTGAAAAATTACTGTATAGGTTATATTAGAGTTCGGGGAAGGACTGGACTTGAATTAACATTATTCATTATTCAAGTATACCCGAGAACATGATTTCATGCAATTTTATGAAAATAACTTACATACTGACCCACATGCCTATATGGCATAAAGTCTGCTATAATAACGAAACTCGTGTAATTCACCGACCGATTTCATATATTTTCGATATTAAATTATAGTATATTCGATGATATACGTTTTCTGAATTTCATTAAGATAACATACACATTAACCGACGTATACGGTATAAAGTAATACCGTTATAGTATTAGGGCTCCGATTCAATTTCATGGACTGTGTTCATTCATTTACGGCAACAAACTACAGAATACTTTCGGAAATATACTAACTTAATTTTAAGGTAAGATACATATTGACCTGCATAAAATTACAAGGAAGTTAGAAATTCATTATGTATAAGGGAATAAAAGAATTAAATCGATTTTATTCATTTTAGCACAAAGCAAAATGCCCAGAGATGTCCACTCACTTATATTAAGATGTTTTACAAATTTATAGTTATTTTCGATAGAAAATCAGCCATGGGTCCTGAAGTCCTCATTATCGATATCTTGGGGCTTGTAAAGTTATGGTTCGATAACTAATTAACTTTAATTAATTGGAATATTATACTTATATGTATCTGCAAATTTCAGTTTGATGTTTTTGTACAATAATTAATTGTTTAATCTAACATAAATCTTACTAAAATAGATAATAATAAAATTAACATTATCACTCGTTCCCATGTGAGTATCATATGCGCTAAAAATATATACATACATGCCTATGTTAATTAAATAGTAATAAGTAGTAATGAATACTTCTAATGTACTAGGCTGTGTAATTTTTGGGCAACTTTTTTCGACTTTAAAACTAAATAATTTTAGATTAGACAAGCGCGCCACAAGTTTTAAGCTCCTTTCGGTTTGATATCAAAGAGAAATGAATGAAATGAACAAACTTAATTGGACTAACAAAAAATTAAATCTCCGAATCTAATATTAAGGATTTCATTAACTTTAGGACAAAGAAAAAACTATGAAACATTTTTAAGGGTCTGTTTGTTAATGGTACATGATTTATTAATTGTAAAGTTAAAAGATTGATTGAATTTACTATTATGTTGCATAGGATTAGTCGTGATTATAATCTAATTTTGCATATTTTTAAAATGGGCCAAGTTTGCCTGAAATTAGTCGAGTAGTTACTAAGATATGAATCATAATCATCACCATGCCATTGTGGAGCGAGCCACACATAATTTTCAAAGGTATTTTTTGGTTAGATCTCCAGGACCAAACTTTTGATTTGTAGTTTAATTTCTTCCTATGATAAAGTACCTTATAATTTGCCGGCTAACGGCATTTTGTGGCTGTGACAATAGTACGAATTTTCCTATCTGTAATACGAACCTCCTCAGAGAACCGAGGAACAAGATTCATCAGGATATCTCAATTTTTACTCAAGTCTCTTGATGGAATGGGCAGACAGGCATTAGAAATTCTGTTCGTCAGGTCATCATGATCATTTTGATGTACATAACTGTATCTACTCCGCTTAATTTTATATGATACAAACAACAGTTAGGTGAACAAAACTATCATACTCTCTGAAGCATGATTATAATTAAGTCTCCCATTTATGCAGAGGGTATATTTTAGAAAACAATACAACAAAACAAACATATTATAGCTGATCAGTAACCAATATAATTTCTAATGTATTCCTAAAAAATGTGCATTATAATCAAATTTGGAATAATTGGGAATATTATTAATATAATTTAAAAGCTACGGATTCTTTTTAGGTAACTTGTTATAATATTATTATTGTACTTTACTAGTCATAAATAAATAAAATATTAAAGTCGTTTTGATTTTGATATGGTCTTTTTATTTGAAAATATTTTTATTTATATTAGCAGCTGAATTTTCCATTTTCTACTTTACTATTTATTTTACTATTTTAAAGTATATGCATTTCTAAATGTATTAATTCTTACTTCAAATTATTAATATTCAAGTTGAAGAGAAGGTGAGCTTCTTTATGTGCTTTTCAATATTACTACTTCTTAATAATGACAATTAATCCTTAACTTAAGTTATACGAGTATATTGATCATATTTCGAATACTTTTGCAGCTCAAATAGTTTTACGCACCAATTACAACATTCAGTATATATGTATATAGTTTCATATACATCTACATAATTAAAATATTCATTTTGGTTGGTTTAAATTTGCTTATAACTATTGCACAGATACTATACATACATACTATTATAAATATGTGGTAATATGACATGCTTGTGATCCCTTAAAATATCTGCACTTCACGATATACATAGTTATACTACCAAATATTTATTAACATTTTTTTAATTCATGCATAATTTGTATGTATTTAAGGTATAGGCAACGCCAAATTAATACTAATTACAAAAGTATTAATTCTTAAAAATATGTTTTGCACAATCCTATGACTATCAATTTATAATTATATTCTTGTCGCTGCCGTGGAATTTTTATTAATTGGAATATTATACTTATATGTATTTACAAATTTCAGTTTGATGTTTTTGTACAATAATTAATTGTTTAATCTGACATAAATCTTACTAAAATAGTTAACTTAACATTATCACTCGTTCCCATGTGAGTATCATATGTGCTTAATATATATACATACATGCCTATGTTAATGATAATGATAATTAAATAGTAATAAGTAGTAATGAATACTTCTAATGTACTAGGCTGTGTCATTTTTGGGCAACTTTTTTCAACTTTAAAACAAGCTAAAAACTTTCAAGAAGTTAAAAAAAAGATTCTTTTTAAATTTGAGATATTATTATTAACATTATTCTTAACATTGCATTTTCCATAGAAATAGCATAAGAAAGAATTTGTTTTTTTTTTCTTAATTTTTTAGCTTGATATTTGATCGTTGTAAAAATGTAGACAGGAAATTGAACGCTTTGTATGAAGAAAAAATTATATTGAATAATTTTAGATTAGAAAAATTAAAAAAATTAAATTAATTAAATTGACCGGACTACAAGGACGCCACAAGCTTTAAGTTGCTTTCGGTTTGATATCAAAGAGAAATGAACGAAATGAACAAACTTAATTGGACGAACAACAAATTAAATCTCCGAACCTTATATTAAGGATTTTATTACCTTCTAGGACAAAGAAAAACATAAAGATATGAACATTTTATTAATCACAAAAGCTGAACGGCTCACATATTAAATTTGACATGATTTAAATTTTATTTGTGTTTAAAATGCGTACATTAGTTATTTGGAAATTTTTGTTATAATTATCGCTCTAACGGGAAATTATAGTTAAGACGAAGATTGAAACGTTATAAGTTGACCTTGATTTTACATATATTGATTTAGTGGTAGATATATCACGTTCGTTAGAAAGAACTTAACATTTCTGATTTGGGCAATTTGAATGCCAGTTATAAGAGATTTATATCATGTTTATGCTATTTTCTAAGAATTTAGCCTGTTTTATTATGGCTAATTAATCTCTTAAACAATTTATAGTGTATAATCAAATATGACCTAATTATAAATAAAAAATCTCAATGTAATTTAAGTACGTATTTTTGGCGTGGTGAAAATTCCACTTATTTAAGAAAATTCTGAAATTTAAAGGGGAATCTAAGTCATGGAAATGTTTTTAGCTGGTTCAAAATTAGTAAAAATTGACCGAAATGTTATTTTTATCCTTTGAACGAAGGAACAAAAAGTAATGAAGGTTCGAACGTAGTCAAAGCTGTGATTACGCCATACATTTCCACTTTGTTTTATTGATATATACCTCTGACCAAAACGGACGGTATGAAGCCATCGGACGGACGGAGATACTTGTATTATAGATATAGGGGCTTGGGAAAGTATTAAAGGACTCTGACAAGTTTTGGAAGAGAGTTGTCACATGCACACTAATTTGATATCTTCATTAAGCTTGGAATAGCTTTTGTAAAATAAAAAAGGCTCGTCCATAGTAATTTTTTGGAAGTAATTCATATGTTTCTGAGTCTTATCATCGTCAGTAGAAAATGCGTTCCGTTATAACTCTTTAATCTAGTTTCGTGCTTTAACGGCTTAGTTATGGCGTATTTTTTCTTATTTCAATTCGCTGAATAACACTGCAAATCTTATTGGATCCATTTTATAATTTATGAGATGCATATTTTATAAGTCTCGCTGAAATAGCTATTGATCTTATGATATGCATATACTAAATACGCTCATTTTTCATACTTGGTGTAATATTAATTAATACTTTTTTAGGTGTTATAAAGACCGTTATGTAAACAAAACTAAGCACTCTTATGCCACACGCCATCTGGTATATAAAATGTGGACAAGAAGACTTGTTCTGAAGGATTGATTATTTTAATACCCATGGTAATGATTCGATGAAACCGATGATATAATTTAAAAGTTATAAAATTTTGTCATAAAATAAATAATAAAAATGTTTTTTTTTTATTAAAAATTTCTAATTCCGTCTCTTCTAAAAAAAAAACATATAATTACGTGCGGCTACGGGTATAACAAAGATATGTTTCTGATATATGTATGTACATACAGATCTAAATAATAATAATAACAAAGGAAATATATATCAATTAAGCTTTTGATTTTAATACAATTTTTTTAAATTTTTTTACAAAGAAAGGTTTTAATACTGTTGAAATACTCTAAGAATTAATCCGATGTTTCTCTTGGTATCATAGGTTATTAAAAATCTTATTATTTTGGCTTTTCATCCATTTGTATTTTAATAGAAAATTACGGTCTGTTTTATACTAACATAAGTTACAATAAAAAAAAAACGGAATTACCGCTGGACATTAATTAAATTCATATTTGTAAATTAGGTATATAAGTTTTTATGAATTTTTCCAACCATTAACGCTCATGCAAATGCAGCAATTAAAGATATTTTGGAGAATATTGACTAATTCTTAAAATCAATGATTTGAAATTTCGTTTTGCTTACTATACTGAAAATCTGGTGGTGTTTATGAGCCAGTGATACTTTTTGTGTTGAAAATTTAATACATATTAGAATACCCTGTGCTCTCAACACTTGTGGTTCTAAATTTTTCATTTGCTTTGAAGGAAGCTTTTAATATTTAATGCAACTTGCAAATTAAAAAAATAGTGACTTTCTTAAGTTAATAAGTAAGGGATGACTATGTGTGACAACTTTATGAAAATTGATTAAAGAATTGTATAAAAATAATTCTCAGACTTTGGAGATCTGTATAAGAACATACATGTGCCACCAGACATGATATTATTTTGTTAGTTTTTAAACATTTAATTAAATAATTTTTTGAAGTGTATTTGCAAGTGTGCTATGTAATGGCAGCAGTCTTATTAGAATAAAATTACATTTAATGTTATAATTTAAAATATGTTTTTATTTGGACTAAATGTGATTTGCAATGTTTAGTTATTTTAATTATTTTATTCTCTATGTATTCTACACTCAAACATTTTTCTATTCATTTTGTTTAATATATGTAAGTATTTTTTCAATTTTCTGATATACATATGGTACGTATGTATACATGTCTTTTAAGTATATAATAATTGTAAAATACTGAAAATAAATTTTAGTCCTACTCAACTGATACAGCTTCTTCGAATCTGAGCACAAGGCATGGGCATAGGTGGTTTATTTCCTTGAACACTTCGAAAATGCATCATATACATATCTTGGCTTGACATTTCAGTTCGTACTTGTATTTAATGTTGGTTTTTATATTATTACATTATACAAATTTGTAAAGAGTTTTGAGTTGATATGCTTAACAAAACTTGACGCAATAAAAGTTTCCAAGCTACCAGTACTTAGCACACTCGTTTAAAAATATTTTACTTACTACTTTACCTAAATAAAATCCTTCAGCGTTAACGCCGACGCGAGATCCCTATATAAAGCTTCTAAAATCTAAAATTAGTACAAAAGAAATTAAATGTAAAACGTATTAATTTATTAATAATACTTATATCAATTTGTACAAGTTTTAAACATTGCGCGTCAAGAAGTTTTTCAGAAAAGAATTTCTTTGCTTTCTGCAGCCAACTTTACTTCGTAACGCGCCGTTATAATCGAAATTTTCGACGCTCAGCGTTGCCGCCGCGTTTAATTAGGTATGCGCCATACAAAACCTATGGACACGAGGAATTTTCGACAGTAATTTGCAGCGGCCGATTTTATTTAGGGACGCCATTTACACATACTTGTGTATATATTGACATGTCTTATTAACATTGAGAGCATAAACCATAAACCCTATTCGGACTTTTATTATAACCAGAAACATTTATATGACACATTGAACGCAAACAATTATAAAAAACATTTAAGTGCGGATTATTTTTATCCGTAAAATATGGATAGTTTGCAATATAAAAAGGATTCCAGTGGCTAGTGTTTCAAACTTTTATATTTTATGTATTATAAAAAGTTATGTTGTGAAACACAAAGTCTAAATAATACATATAAACAATTTGCAATAAGAATCGTTTTCCAGTAATTAGTGTTCTAAACTCTTAAAAAAAATTATTGTAAAACATAAAACAAATACTTAAAATAATAATTCAAATATTGAACTGAAGTGTAAGGCACATTTTTTAATGAATTATAAAGTAATAAGTCCTTAAATACAAACTTTTAAACTGTGAACAATTATATAGCCAAATACTGCCTTTATAATACTGAAATTATGTAAATGCTTCTTTCCATTCGAAATTCCCATTTTGTACTCCATATCTATGTCAAGTAAAAGGTCATGATTTCTGGTGTAGAATTGATGAATGTCACTAATCTGTAAGCAAAAATAACTTATGTGTAGCATAAATGGTATAAATAACTGATATACTTGTATAGAATATATATTACAATATATAAGTGACATATGTACAAATAAATACATTCAACAACCACTTATATAAATTTAGAACATCGAAATTATGTTATATAGATAAATAAATAAGATCGAAATGATGTGAAGACTTTTGGCTCACAATTCAGCATAAAGTCAATTATGAGCAGAATTTTGTGAAGTACCAACTATAGATGCATTAAAATACAAAAAGTTTTATATGTGCAACTTCAGAGATATCGTAAAGAAACCCTCGACTGAAAGTTGACAATATTTTATTGTACAAAGCCTTGCATTCGCGTAGAAGATTTTCTGTATCTGTAGGTCTTGACAACTTCTACAGAAATCGTTGTATGGTATCCCCAGTCTGCTAGCATGTCTGCCAATAAGACAGGGACCAGTTAGTAATCATTCTACAGTTCTTATGTCATCCCTTTGAATTTTAATGATTGGCGGGACTTGTTGAGCAAGTTAAGTTTTGACTCCACCGAGACTCAGCTATATCTATAACATGTTTGTTTATTAAATACCTATAAGTAGTCTGAGGCATACCACAACGCACCGGCGTTCTGAGCTGTCCAAGTGCGATTTCTGATAAGATCAAAATCATAATCTAACCTAACCTCGCCAGAGGCATATAAATTCGCTCTTTATCGGAGTCTAGCTGTTGGGTGGTGCCAGCTCTGGCTAGTTCATCTGCTTTACAATTACCAGGAATATCACTATGGCCCAGAACCACTAAGATATCAAGACATTCTTTCACTATCTTTGATGAAACCCAATTTCCATTTCACAGCCGCTTGTCAATCCGTTTATATATAAATATTTCGTGTTGTGAGAAAACTCTTTGTCAGAACAAAAAGGCTTTTTTTAATTGCTATGATTATATGATATATAATATAGCTGAAACACAGTGCAGTGGTCTGGTAGTTGAAAGGCGATTCTGGTATCTTATTTTGCTGAAACGACACTACTTTCCACTCAATTATCTAGTTTGGGTCCATCCGTGTAGATACTTTTCCCAGTGTACCTGTCCGCCTCACTCCTACCCCACTCTTCTCTGAAAGGGAAAGCAATATTGGGGACCGAATTAAAGTTTAATTCTAAAGCTTTGAAAATCATTGGTATTGGGTAGAGAAACTTTATTTTAGAATTCCCCTTGTTATAAACGACTAATAAGGAAGATTCCCTTAGTCTAAGAGCTGACTTCGGCGCCAGTTGCTTACAGAACAAGAATGTGGGCAGTAAATATACATAAAATATTGTGTAGTGTCTGATTTGACGTTGTTCTAAGAGCTGCACTGGGTTATTTACTAGGTGCTCTTTGCATGTTTTCAATACTTCTTACCGTGTATTTCTTTTCCATTATTGGCCACCATACCAACATAGCCAATGAGTTACACGAGGCGTTAGTCCCCATGTGGGCCCCACCATCCTTTTATAGGTGCATAGTGTTATAGCTGCTTTCTTTACCATAGTGCCTAAGTTTGGTTTCCATGATAGCTTCCTGTCTAAAATAAGTCGCAAATAGCTTGCTTTATCTCCTATTAATAGCCTGGTACCATTTAACTTAATTGATTTATATGTGATATAAACTCAACCAAAATTGTTAAATTTAATATATTTCATATCTGAGGAAAACATCAAAAAGAGTAGCAGAAATCTGTATAATAGGGATATGAGGTTTACACCTATTTTCTCTATATTCAACGCTAAATCACACTATTTTTAAGAAAGTGGACAAGGTTCATTAAAATTTAATTTGATTAAAATATCACAATTATATTATATTATTGACACGGGTTTAAAGTCAGGTGGAAGTCCACAATCTGTATATCGGATATATTGGGGCTAGGGGATATTCTTTACTGATTGCATTAGCGTTTGACATTACTTTAGTATACTCGACAACATGTTTCCACACAATTTTATGAATATGATTCACTTACAGGCCGATGTACTCGGCTTAGAATCTGTTAGAATATCGAAACATATTATATGTAGTATATGGGAGCTGGACCGAGTTCACACATTAAACTACAGTATATCCAGTGTTCCTTTTATTTTCTTAGGAAATCTTACATATTGACGAATATATATGGTATAAAGCCAAACGAAAGTTTGAAATTCTTATATTGAGCATATGGGGGCTAAAGGAAGTATTGACCCGATTTTTTTGGTATTACGACATATTATTACCAGAAAAAAATGCCAGAAAAATGTGCTATATGAGTTTCATGTAGAAAACTCAATACAATATATATGGTATAACCAAATGTCCAAAAATTTAATTTAAATTTGGTTGATATAGCTATAGATATAGTTTGAGAGTTATGTGTATTAAACCTATCAGGGAACGGGGCCACGCCTACTTCATCACTCATTTTCAAACCACAGGTACCCTCCCTAGTCCGATTCGATGTGGAAAGTAACAGATTTGCATCTTATTGTGGTTATTAGTTATGGCACTTTATATGTTTTTGATTAAAGACGTTTTATGCGCGTGATAATGGTCCGATTCCGAAAACCTGCAATACAAACCATCTCATGGTGCCAAGAAATATGTGTAATAAGTTTCATTAGGATATCTCAGTTTTAGTTGCATAGTTTCAGCTTGCATAGACGGACAGATAGTCACCCGAAATTCAACTCGCCTCGTCATCCAGGCGCCAAAAAAAAAGCACCTTTTGAAATTTAGAAATTCAAAAGTTGGCAACTATGTTTATAAAACAATCATTGAATTCGACAGCTTTCGTCGGAAATGATGCGTGAAGACGGACTTACTGGCATATCTAAATAAAAACGTTGAGCAGCGCGTTTTTTACTGCGGCAACTTTACGTCAAATTCCCACTTAAATTCTCAAATTAGTAAAAAAGAAATTAAATGCGTTTATTTAGTTATGCGTCATACAAAATCTTTGGACATGAGGAGTTTTTGACAGTAATTTTCCGCTGCCGCTTTTATTTAGGGACGGTAGTTAGGAGTTTGACGTAACGTCATCTAAAAACGGACGACTAGCGCGCTATTGTGGAACTGGACTGATTTAAAATCATTTGTGCGGTTACAGCGCCAATCAATGAATGCAATGTAAGCAAAAGATGCTAGTATAGTAGAGCAGTAGAGCGCTGACTGCTTTAGATAAACAACAAAGAATGGCTCAAGTGCGCAATTTGTTCTCGTAAGTATAGATATAAAATATTTTCACCAAAAATAAAAAAGTTTGATCGTTTTTAGAAGAAAAGCATATTGCAGCATATATTACCTCATTCCATC